GATATTTTCTAGCAGTAGAAACTGGGTAATCTGAACTGTTAGGGGAACAAAATTGGAAACAAAAGTTCTTTGGAATTGATTTCCCATAGGATAGGGATAGAGGTAGAAGCCTTTTATTTTCCGAAGCAGACTTCAGGGGATTCATAGTGTCAGGTCTCACAATGTCCATTGTTTTTAATATCTGTTGCCCAAGAAAAGGGTGGTGCCTGGGAGCTTAAACATTGTTCCTTTGATTGTGTAAACTCCAAAGCTTCCGTGACTGTTGGGATTTCCCCTAAAATTCCAGATATCCTAACGACCCTTGTCTTACATTCTGTTTTGTTTTCATTATAACATTATATTACTACTAGAGTCCCGATGCACAAAATTCATGCAAGGGGCTTGGCCCTCGCAGCCACGGCGGCTTGCCTCAGCCCTCGCAGCCCCGGCTTCGTCCGGAAGGCCATTCGGCTGTTGGGCCTAATTAGCATATTACACTTTTATTATTATAGATTGTGATTAATTCAAATCCACAAAAGACTTCGGTTTGCTAGTTTACCACAATCCCCACTACTTCCTATTGTCACATCCAGCCCAGCTCACTCATTTATGTCACTGGCCCTATCCCTGTGAGCATTTGAGTTTGAAGCCCCTGTCACAGAGCCACGTCATCCTTTATAACAACTTCATTGAGTCTCATTGTCTGGATTTATTAGACTCTGATTCGCCCTTGCTCTGTTGATGGACAATTGGTTTGTTTCCAGCTCATTGCATTTCATTCATTCACTTATTGAACAAATAATTATTGAGCACCCACTTTACTCAGGCACAAGGGATACAGCCGTGAGCATCAGACATGGTTCTTGTCCTCATGGAGACGAAAGCTAAGGAAGAAAACAGGCGTTTATTTTTCTCTCTCTGACGCATTGAGTGAGCACAAACCATGTGTCTTACACACAAGGTCTCACCTACTTCGCTAACTGGCATGAACACCCCTGCCCGCTGCTTTTATGCATCTGTGTTAATATGCCCTTAGTGCAGCCTCCTGGAAGTCAGCTTCAGCAATTATTTTGAGGAAATATTTTTAGATTATATGTAATGGCTTCCAAACTAATCTAAAGTCTTTGTATTTATGCAGGAAGGAAAAAAATAAACTGCTCTAAGGGCTTGAAAATAGAGACAGTACCTGGTCCATCCCTATGGCATTCTTTGTTTTTTGTGTTGTTGTTTGTTTTGTTTTGTTTTTTGAGTAAAAGAAGGAAATGTTTCCACTGATTTTAGATATTGTTACATAATATAGTTTTTTTTAAATAATTGACTTAATAGAAGAGAAAACTCAATTTCAAGTGAATCCCCTTGTTTGTAAGCTATGTCTCCAGTCACCAGATCATTGATTTTCCTTCCACCTTCTAGTCTTTGTCACCCTTAAGTTTCCTTCAGATAATGCATTCACCATCCCATGACAAAGTAACTCTTGGTTGAGTTTTTATCTTAATAAATGTATTGCCCAGTTCATTTCTGAAGAGAGCTTTTTCCTTCCAGAAATTAACCTCATAAAAGTAAAAATAGAAAGAATATCATTTTTTCCAAATAATTTTATTTCAGGGAGGGGGGAAAAATAGTCATGTAAGTACTTACCTTACAGGTAGATATAGCACTTCACAAAGATCCTCTGGGCTCCTACAGATCTTCAGAATAATTGCAAGGAACAGCTGAAACATCTGTCATGCCCCAATCAAAAATGATGCTTCTATGCATTAAGTCAACTGTATGTCAAGAAATTGGATAGTTGAAGCATTATATTTTTATAAAGTGAGTGGGTAGAGGACTGTATTCATGTACCTGAAAACCAGGTAGGCAGATGAAACCATAAAAGTGGTAGAGAGAAATAGAGACATACACATCTATCATTTGTCAATATTAATAACACCTTGTACTTGAAAAGTACAGTACGTTCCTCCTCCAAATTAGTGTCACATACATTGTTTCACTGAATCCTCCTCCAGTCTCCTTAGACCATTAGTTTTGAAGGAAACTCTTTGTTAGAGTAGCATTCTCAGGCTTAGGTAAGAAAGACTGTGAGCTTCAGTATTGGGCAAAATACATTCAATCTAATGAGTCTAAGAAAACCTGTTGAAATTTACTATCTGGAACGGGGTGGGGAAGACGGTGGTTTGTAATGGTAACTATAAAACAAAACAAAACACAAGAGTTTTCTAGCCAAAGTTCTGGGGCGGGGGGTGTTGTTGCTGTTGTTTTTTTAATATATTTTTATTGATTTCAGGGAGGAAGGGAGAGGGAAAGTGAGATAAAAATATAAATGATGAGAGAGAATCATTGATTGGCTGCCTCCTGCATGCCCCACTCTGGGGATCGAGCCCACAACCCAGGCATGTGCCCTGACCAGAAATTGAACCCTGACCTCCTGGTTCATAGGTCGACGCTCAACCACTGAGCCACGCCAGTCAGGCTAGCCAAAGTTCTTCTTCTTTTTTTTTTTTGTCTAAATTTTTACATATGTCTCCTTTTTCTCCAACTGGTTTGTACTCCTACCTGTCACTACAATGGTCATTTATCCTTCCGACCACATGTATATCTCATAAGCAAAAGAAACTGGTAAATGTGGGTATCTACAGCACTGACAGTGTAAAGCACTGATGGCAACTAATTTGAAGAGTGGAAAAATAAGGTGGAATCAAAAGACTGGACAACAATGTAGATGAAAGTGAAGGGAGTGAGCAGAATTAAAGCACAGATGCCTAAAGATCTTGAATTTGAAGGAGGGGAGAGATATTTTACTTTAGACTTCAAGTAAGGAATTTGTATTAAAGATTTCAAGGAAAATCATTAAAAATAATAGAAATAAGATGTGTAAATAAATTCCAAGTCGTGGGAGGAAGAAAAGGAGAAATGAAGGAGACCAGCTGCTATGAACATAGGGGTGCATATATCCTTTCTGATTGGTGTTTTTGGTTTCTTGGGATATAGTCCTAGAAGTGGGATCACTGGGTCAAATGGGAGTTCCTAGCCAAAGTTCTTGATCCCAAATTCTTCCCTGAATATGAACTATAAATGCTGAACTGCTCATAAGGAAGGGTTTCTGGAAGCAGTGTTTGAGCAAGTTCTGTCTTCACCAGCAATTTGCATTTCTCTCTACTCTTAAAGGGGATGAATTCTGCATTTCTCAGTGATTAATAGTAATAATAATAATAGCTTCCATTTGTTGCGTGCAAAGGGTGTGGCTGGTACTGTGCTAATCAGCACATCACGTGTACCACTCACTTATTAATATAAAAACCCTGCGGAACAAGCACTCCTCCTGCCCTGCTGTGCGGGTGAGGGCACAGAGACTCGGGGCTGAAGCGACCTGCCCAAGGTCACAGAGCTGCTAACTGGCCAAGCCAGAGCTCAACCTCGGTTTTTGTTGATTCACCCTCTACTCGTGTTACTTCTGCTTCCTGGGCTTCTCCTGGACGCTGACTTTCTCTCAGACGACTTGAAGATAGGACAGCCATAGCTCCATTTTGGTGATTCTCTGAGTAATGCTTTCTGAGCAAACATCATTTTTATGTCGTGGTCCTACCTGAAATTCCCTAAAATTACACTCACTTGGAATTACAAGGCAAAGGGGGAGGAATGAATACATGATGGGTGTAAAGCTTGGACATAGTTTTCTGAAAGTTTTTGTCACTAAAATGAGATTGGCCTCCACTGTGTAATTTTGTCTGAATTGTCCAATTTTGTTTCAAGTGAGCATCTTGGTAAAACACCAAGTTTGGACTCATAGCCTTTGTTTATCCTGGAAATTTCTAGTAGGTCCTGCTCTTTGGATGTATTGTAGTGAGGCCGATCGAGTAAACAGTGTTGCTGATATGCTCACACCACATTAAAATGGCTTCCCAATTTTTCTTGTAAATCTCAATTTGGGTTGGATAACATCTCCATCAAAATAGACACCAAACGTCCCCATGAGAATTCTGAGTACCTAAGAGATACATGTATTGGAAATGGTTCAGACATGCCTCAGAGTATCAAGCTGTAGGAATGTACGACCCAGCAAAAGGAACAGGAAATAACTTTATGCATACCCAAGGCTTGGGTGTCACAACCAGGTCCCGTCTCCACCCTTTGACGATCATGAACAGAAATAAACTCCATGAAGACAGTTGCTCTGTATCATGTTGGAAAATTTCTGAAGTTATTTCAGAGTCTTCAGACTGTTCTTTAAAGTATTTGTCTCTGAAAGAATTTTAGTCTCTTTAAACAGGAACTCTGCTATTTTTGACAGCTGGAAAAAAACAAGTTTCTGTGGTTGTGGTCCTTTTAATACAGAGCCCAAGATGAACTATTCCAATTCGTCTCTGAAGAGGAGTTCTGCCCAGAGGAGAGAAGGGGAATAGAGAGAAATTGAACAAGGGACGAGGGAAGGAATTAAGGAGGGAGGGAGCAATGAAGAACCACCAAATGTCACCAATGAAAGGCTACGAATGGTTTAATGGTTTATTCATCTACTTTGTTTTTATTTGTCCCAGTTTTATTAAGATATAATGGACATGTATCACTGTATGACTTTCAGGTGTACAGCATAAAGGTTTGAAAGTTTAGTTAGCATTCATGATCTCATACAGGTACAATGAGAAGAAATGGGGGGGGCAGAAAAAAATGTTTCTTCTTGAGATGAGAATTCTTAGGACTTAGTGTCTTAACAACTTTTCTATATCACACAGCAGAGGTCACTGTAGTCATCTCGTTGTACATCACACCCTAATACTTATTTATCTTATAACTGGGTGTTTGTACCTTTGGGCCACTTGTTTGTTCATTGACTCATTCATCGATGTTTTCAGTCACCTCCTGGTTCCAACATTGGTATTTTCATCACCACTTATTTATCCCAGAATGACCTTACCCTGCAGTTGAAGACTTGTCTTGTTGTTGTCATTTTTGGATGCTGGTGCTTGAATTTATTAGACTCTCTGGGTGCAGACCATGTGGAAAGTGTATATCTCATAAGTAATCCATTTCCACTTGGTCTTCCATTTGTCTTGATCTGATTCTCAACAACAAATGACTGCGGCCACCCATATCAGAACTGCCTTTGCGTGCTCTATTTTGCTGTGCGAGCGGTAGCTGAAAGGCCATTGTCTGTTTGTTATTTTAGTCAGTGAAAGGGGATGGAGGGATCGCCCACTCAGAAGACATAAATGGGAAAGACTCCAGCTACCAAGTAAGTGACGGGTGACCTCGGTTCGGTGGTGGGTTTAGCTGTCGTGCCCTCAGTTCTTTCCAGCCTCATCCCAGTGCAATCCTCAACCACTCCAGCTCAGTCAGTGTCTCCAGGTTAAGCGCCTACTGTCTACCAGCACTAATGGGCTCTGCAGATACAGCGTGAACAAGCCAGAGATCCCCGGCTATTTCTTATTGCAAAGCTTTCCCACATGCTCGTCCCTCTTCTCCACATGGAAAATTCCTCCCTGTCCTTTAAGTCATGACCTAAACATCACAGGGGGACTTGAATCAACACGTGTTTCCTGAGTGCCTCCTCTGTACTGGCACTCGGATCCACACAGTCTCTCAGGATCACCTCTGGCGATGTTAAACCAGATGAGCAGTTTTCCCAGGACTTTCCCAGTTTTAAAACTGTTCCATGTCCTGAACCCCCCCCCCCATACTCAAACAAACCAAAATGATTGGCCCCCTTATGTTTGGCCATTCACATGGGCCTGGCACGGTGTCATTACCAGCTCATGTAGTCCTCCCAGCGGCACAGGTATGATTTCTTTAGTTACCTCCATACAGAGGAGGAAGCTGAGAGACCGAACACACAGCAAGGCCACACAGCAAGGTTGTGACAGCACTAGAACCTGGTCCCTTTGACTTCACACACCAAGCTCTTAGCTATTCGCTGTATCTTAAAATTGTCCATGCAACAAAAACAGTGGGGGAGCTGTTTGAATGGGATCACTGGTTACTGGTCTTTTCTGGTGGGAGTCTCTGGCTCATTGTCTTCTGTACTTGGACCTTCTGTGCCTTAGCGTTTGCTAGAACATAGGCAGCAGGGGTCTGACAGAAATACTGAGGACACACGGTTGCAGAACAGCTTCTCGGGTGCACTGAGTGTCTGATGCTGCTTTCTGCGGGGGGGCGGGGGGGATGCCTGCCCTCCAGGGGCTGCAACCTGCTGAGACCTGGGGACTAGGGACTTCGCTGTCTTCCCACTTCCTTCCAAGGCATGTGCTCAGTCCACAACGTCAGTGACAGCTCTCTGGCTGCTCCTTCTCAATCAAACTGCCACCTTGTCATAGAATTTCTGGGCCTGGGGACAGTAATAACTTCATAAATCAGAGATTGCGAACATATATCCAGTAGATCGAATGTGGCTCATAGGGTACTGGGGCTGTGGTTGGCTGTAAATAGCGCTTTAAAACTTGAGAAGTCAGTACTTAAAAATACACATATGTCACATTTAAAAAAATAAATTTTAAGTTTCCATTGAAAAAACAGATCTGACGATTATACTGGGCTGTAATCCCACATAGCCTCTCTAGGCTGGGTCTGAGCAGCTGTTTAAACAGGACATTTGACATTCAGCTCACCACAGTCCCCCTACTCCAAATTGTCTCCCTAAAACATCAAAGACAGCATTGCTTGAACTGGTGTTTTCTTACACTAGAGAAATAGTTCCTTGTCTCTACATTGGTTTCACAACTGGAGGAATAAGGTCTCCAAAAAAATTCTTACCTGTAGCCTCCGTCATGTTTTATTTTATCTGTCTGGCCCCTGAAGACATTTCAGTTCAAGAAAATTGTGGAGAAAAGGCTTTTATTTCCTAGTAGATTTTTTTTTAATCTGTCATTAATTTACCCAGTATTTTCTAGAATTTTGGATTTTACAGCCTCATCCCTCCAAATTGTAGGAATGAAGTAGGATTATAAACATTCCACTTTAGCATGAAAGGATGTAAGTTCAAAACTGAAAATAAAACAATCATCTTCTTTATCACTGTTTTATGAAGCAAAGGGACAATTTCACACCAGAAATCAAGGTAGACATAGAATAGAAACGGTATCCCCAATAAAAGTCGCATGCAGTTGTACATGCAGAAACATCTCAAAACTAGCATTAGCATGAAGGGCTTCAGGAACAGCTTGATCCAGGTGCACACACAATGCCATCAATATGTGGGCTCTTCCTCTCTTCATCTCTCAGCTTTCCTCTGTGTTAGCTAACTTTTCAAACGTATTTTTTCCTGGAAGTGCCCGTGGCTCTGGAAGCTGCAGGCTATTATCTTTAAACCCAGCAGAAAAGGAACAGGACTCTGTCACACAGCTGTTTAAACAAAGCTCTGAGATTAGCTCAGTTTTCATCTGTTTGGCCATCCTGAACCAATCACAGCAGCCCAATCACATGCAATGGTTTGATTGGCCAGGCTGGGTCACGTGCTCCTGTCCAGGGGTATCATTAGTGTGCCTCAACCCTAAGGAATAGACAAGAGGGGAGAGTGGTTCCCCAAGGAAAACCCAGGTTCTAGTGTGGGGAGCCTCTATAGGGTTAAACCTCGGACTGACCTGTTGGCAAAGTCACAAACAAGTCCTAGCTTAGAGGGCACAGTCCTTTAAGCATAATTAGGCTTGACCTTATGATGCTCCCAGATCTTACCTGGGAAGCTAATGGGCTGAGGGAAGTGCAACAAGAACAAAAATAAGGGAAACTCATAAGAACAGTGTAAACAAGTGAAACTCACAAGAACAGTGTAACTTTGGTAACCACTACCTTGTTTACCTCTGACTATAAAATAAAGGCTCAGTTTGCCTCGGGATCTTTCTCTGTGGCCTCAGCCAGGCACAGGAAGATCCACGGAGACTAAAGAGAGCTAGAGAGTTCTGAACGCTGTCTCCGTGTAAAAAACATTCCTAGCCGACTCCGTCCACACCTTTGGGAACCCCTGGACCACTGGGGCTGGACCCCGGCATTCTAGTGCCAGAAAAGGGAAGAATGCTTGCTGGGAAAGCATGAAATTAACAAATTATTAGATGAACAAATAACTGTTCCCTGCTGTGACTGTACCGTAATAAGTATTAGCGCATTTCTTGGTTTTCTTTTTATTATTTTCTTCATTTCACCCAGTAGTCCTGAAAACCTAGATCCCATCCAACGTTTGAGTATCTCTGTTTTAACGTATTTATTGAGAGTTGTCTTGCAGCCACTGAGATGCATTTGTTTGAACTTGCTGTAGACCTCGCACTCCGCGCAGAAGGCCACCACGCCGCCCGAGCCCCAGCCCCAGCCGGCAGGAGCGAGCCAGAAGGGCAAGGAGGGCTCCGCCAAGGACAAGAAGACAGCCGCCTCCGAGAGCAACAAGCAGAGGAACAACAAGCAGGAAGCCAAAGAGCCGGCCCCCTGTGCGTGTGCAGAGCCGGCAGTGGCGGTGGCCGTGGCCCAGGCCAACGCGCTGCAGAACGGGGACAGGCCCCAGAGGAGACGCGAGAAGCGGAGCCAGTCCTTCAGGGGCTTCTTCAAGGGCCTGGTAGGTGGAGCTTTCAGCATTTCTTTCTGGGCTCTTGGGCCAGGGGTGTGCTGATTACCTCCTGAGGGGACCATTGGCTAGGGGCTGGTGGGACATTTGTCAAACAGTATTTATGGAGCACCTGCTCTGTGCCAGGCGCTGTGCTGGGCACAGAGAGAGAAGGTGGGCACAGGCCTTGCTGTCTGGAGTGACAGTCTTGGTGGGATGGATGGGGTGAGGGTTCCGGGTCTAGAAACAGCTGGGAGGCAGAAGGCAGGCCTGTGAGGGGAGCCTGAGAGTGAGGGTGTGGCCTGGCCTTGACCTTGAGAGGAGTGTCAGGGAGCGCGTCTCAGAGGAAGTGGAGTCTTGAACTAGTCTGCGGACAGAGGGACAAGGGGAGGTCTGAAGGCAGAATGTGTGCCAGGCAGAGGGAAGACAGGTGCCAAGGTGTGCTGGAGAGGTGGCAGAGAACTGGAGTTCAGTCTGGCTGGATGAGAGAAGCAAGGGCGGGAGATGTTGGCAGGAGCAGGAGACGACTAGAAGCATGGATGGCTGTCTGTGGCCAAAGGGAGTCTTGAAGAATTTAACCCAGGGAGATGGCTCTAAGCCTGACCCTGCAGGCCGGGCACACAGAGGTGACTACCAGTAAACTTAGCTCCTTCCATCCAAGGAAGCCTGGTCAGCATGAGAGGAGGCCAGACATTAAATAATCATTTAACCTTTTTGTGTTCTTTATTTCTGTCTGTTTAGTTGTTTCCTCCCTAGGCTATTGTCCTTGGGAGGGCCGTGACCATATCTGTCATGGCAAATGTCCTGTCCTCCCTGGTGTGGTGGCTGGCTCGATGCATGCCTCATGGATGGATGAGTGGGTGGATGGATGGATGAGGGGATGTATGAGTAGATGATGGGTGGATGGGCAGATGGATGCATGGATGGAGGGGTGGCTGGATGCATGGATGGATGGATAAATGGATGAATGCATGGATTTATTAAATATTGTATTTTCCATACAAAAAATACAATTAAAACTACTTTTGCCTACCCCTGTATATACCATACTATACTGTATTACCCTACATATATTTATATTATATATACGATGGTTTACTACACTGTACTATATATACTATATACTATGCTATATTAACCATACTAGGTTTCTATATGTATGTATCTATACTAATAAAAGGGTAATATGCTAATTAGACAGAGTAACTGGCCATCTTCTGGATGTCCAACTTCCTTCCGGACAAAGCCATGATGGTGGGGGCCGAGGCAGAGGCAGTTAGGGGCTATCAGGCCCGCAGGCAGGGCAGTTGGGGGCCATCAGGCCAGCAGGGGAGCGGTTAGGTGGCAATCAGGCCAGCAGAGGCGGTTAGGGGCAATCAGACAGGCGGGCAGGTGAGGGGTTAGGAGCCAGCAGTCCTGGATTGTGAGAGGGATGTCAGACTGCCAGTTTAGGCCTGATCCCACAGATTGGAGAGAGTGTAGGCTGGGCTGAGGGACACCATCCAGTGCATGAATTTCATGCACCGGGCCTCTAGTCAGGAGAGAGTGTAGGCTGGGCTGAGGGACACCATCCCGTGCATGAATTTCATGCATCAGGCCTCTAGTATATAATATATTATTCAGTATACACTATCCTATAGTATACTATCCTATACTACATTATATTACACAATACTATCTATATATACTATCTATTATACTACTCTATACTATATGTATTTTACTATCTGTGCTTCACTCTATGTACTATCTGCACTTGGGTTAGGGATAGGGTATATACTTTACTGTCCTATATATATAAGCCCATATTATACTATACTACTTTACAATATATTTACTATACTGTAAAATGGCCAATAATAATAGTACCCCTGATAATGCAGCAAGATGAATAAATCTCAAACCCATTATGCTACATGAAAGAAGCTAGGCTCAGAGCTCTATGCTCTGTGATCCCATTGCTACGGCATCCTGAAAGAGGCAAAGGTCTAGGTCTAGAGAACAGCCCCTGGTTACTAGTGTCTGGGCCTGGGGGAGGGGTTGACTCCGAAGGCCTAGGGATTTGTAAGTGATTGAATACCCTATTTTGGTTTTGGTGGTGGTTACATGGCTACTTGTATTGGTCAAGGATCATAGAACTGTACACAAACAAGGATTAATTTTATTGTATGTAAATTATACTGGACAGAAAAGGTTAAATAATAATAACAACAGTAATAATAGTACTTGATTCCTAGAGTTTATTCAGCCGCATTCAGGTGATGCCTACTGTGTGCCGGGCAGGTACTGGGCACCGGGATACAGCCGGCAGTCCACAGCGCTCCATGCAGGTGGAGACAGTGTGGATAGAGAGTGGTTAGAGAGGGTGACTGACATGAGCTGTAATCATGGAGGGTTTTCTACGCCCCAGGCACGGTGCTAAATGCATTACATGCACAAACTTACTTCATCTTAGAACAATTCTCTGAGATGACTTGTATCACCCACAATTTTATTTTTTTAAAATAATAGTTTATTGATTTTGAGAGAGAGAGAAACATCAATGTGAGAGCCTAACATCGATCGGCTGCCTCCTGCACACCCCAGCCAGGGATCAAGCCCACAACCTTTCAGTGCACTGGATGACACTCAACCAACTGAGCCACACCAGCCAGGGCTGTCACCCCATTTTAAACATGAAGAAACTGGCCCTGGCCAGGTAGCTCAGTTGGCTGGAGCATTGTCCTGATATGCCAAGGTTGCGGGTTCGATCCCCAGTCATGGCACAAACAAAAATCAACCAATGAATGCATAAATAAGTAGAACAACAAATTGATGCTTCTCTCTCTCTAAAAAAAAGAAGAAGAAGAAGAAAGAAAAAGAAAGAAGCTGACTGAAGCACAACCAGTTATTTGTCTAAGATTTCACAGAGCTAGAAAGTAATAAAACTAGGCATTGAATTTGGGCATCTCACGGGAGACTATTCTCTTACCCACCACTGGCGAGTAAGGTGCATTTACTGAGCACAGCACTTGGCCCAGAGTAAGTGCTAACTAAATGGCAGTTGTTGCTATTGATATTACAGATCCTCATTAGGACATACTTTCTGATATTTTTCTCCAGGGACCAAAGCGGATGTTGGACGCTCAAGTGCAAACAGACCCCGTATCCATTGGACCAGTTGGCAAATCCAAGTAAACAAATCGCCACAGTTCCCACCACGTCCTCCTGCCACCAAGAGGCCTCCTCCCTGTCCATCTCCTCCCCAGCCCACTCCATGTATATATTTTTTCCTCTGATGGCCATCGAATGAAATTCTTCCTACAAACCAAGCCTGAGCTGTTGTATATTGAGGTGTATTATTTACGTCTCTGGTCCGATCTTTGCTGGTAAATAATCGTAAGGATGGTTTAGCAGGTTAACTCGTCAGGTCAGAAGAGTGGATGGTGGGGTAGGGTAGAGGGATCTTTCTGGTTAAACTATGAAGCGTGGCAGCGACAAGTTGCAGGAAAGAAATGGCTGCCTTGCGTAATTAAGCTTTGTCTTAAACGGGCTCACCAAGAAGAGAGGAGAATCTGTTTGTTTAAGTTCACCTTTCAGGGAGGGAGGACATGGCTCTGTATTGGGAGGTTGCCAATTCCAAGAAGAGAGGAAAATCTGTTTAAGTTCACCTTTCAAGGAGGGAGGACATGGCTCTGTATTGGGAGGTTGCCAATTTCCTGGAGTGGAATGTGTGGGGAATGAGAAAAGGAGTGAATAAGAGTTGTTTTTTACATAGGGTCCTTGAAAGTTACTGACAAGAGGGGCAAGATTGACTGGAGAGGCCTTGAAACAGTTTGGGTAAACAATTGCTTTTTTGAGGCTCAGTGACAAGGGCGAGGATTACAACTTAAAAAACAAAACACAAAAAAACAAATAAATGCAGTTGCTAGTTTATTTTGCAACACAAGGGGGCGCCCAGGGCTCCATGTGAATCCTGCATCCTGTGTCCCTAACAAAGATGTGGTCCCTGCGATCTTACGTTCTTCATGTTTCTCAGGTGGCTGAGGGGCTTGCTTCATCTGTTCTGTCTGGCACTTGTCTCACGTCTGTCTGTAATTTCCTAATGTTCTCAGGATGTGCTCTGGTAAAACCCTCCCCGTAACCCCAATTAATAAAAATTTACAGAAGATTATTCACCTATGAGTTTTTTAATACTTGTACAGAGGAATAAATAGGATCATGAGTCTATTAAAATGTCATTCAAAAGTCGCATATGATTGGCTGATATCATGTACTGTATCTTTCTTTCTCTGAGTTAATAAAAAAAATACATTGATATCTAAAGCATCTTTTAATTTTCCACTTTTAAAGCAGGTCTCTCACATCCTATGTCTGAGACGCCTTTATCTTCCCCAGTAAAATATATATATCAGTGCTCTTCCTCCAGCTTGCCCTCTGTCCCAGCTCCTCCCAGGTTCCCTGTATGTGGGCACACAGGAAGACCACTGTGTGTGCATGTACATTTGCATATGCACACGCACCTATATAGAAGTGCTGTCTTGGGCCAGGCTGCCTAGAGCTGAGCCTGAGACGGGATTCGTCCCGATGCATGTGAAATCCTGAGGGAGGACTCCCTTCAGAAAGGGAGGAAGAGAGCAGGGCTGGGAAGGAGCTGAGCAAAGCCTGGACTTGGCTGGAGCTGGGCTGCATGCTGCGTAAAGTGCACCCCACAGCAGGTGCTTCCTCCAGCCAAGGGGCCACCCTTCGAGGCAGGAAGGCAAGCTGCTTCCATTGCGCTGAGAAGCGGGGCTCCCTGAGCAGCTAGAGGCCGTCTGCGTGAGCAGTGTCTACTCACAGATACACCCACAGGGATTAACATTCACACCCCTGAGCATAAATGCATGTGTTTATACATATATACATACACTGCATACAGAAATAAATGCATGCACATGTTTATACATATAAACATAAATGCATACAGGGATCGATAAATACATGCATACATTCATATTCAACACACATACAAGTAGTGTATGTAACTAACACAGATACACACACACACTTGCCCATACAAATCCATCACATGTGTGATCCATCACACGTTGATTGGAAATAAATGGAATATATTCTAAGACTGCACTTTAGCCAAAAAAAAACCCATGGATTGGGCAACAAGGTGTTTAGAACGTGTGTTTGGGAGAAGCAGAAAAATGGTATCTCTAAGGAAACAGATTAGGGGGCCTTTGCTGCTGAGCCCGTTGGGTGCTAGGTTTCAAATAAAGACCCGAGGTGTCCCCCATGTGGCTGAGTGACTTCCTCAGACCGCCTGCCCGAGCCTGGGGGTTACTTTGAGAATGACCTCATGGCACCTCATGTCCCAAAGCTTAACTTGGCACAAGTCAGGGAAAAACCCTCTGGGGAAGCCCTTGCTGGGGGTGACGCTCCCCAGCCCAGGGTCACAGACCGTGGGAAGAGGGCAGGGGGCCAGGCCACTGGGGATTCCTTTGTGTCAGGAACCAGCGGGGGGTTTTCGGGCCACACCAGTCCACTGAGAACGGTGAGAGGGTGAGCGTATCGTTTGCAAGTTTCGCCTCACTGGACGCTGGGGCTTTGGGCCTGATGAGCATACGCAGGAGGAACTGAGTCATATGCAGAAGGAGCCCTCCCATCTGCCATCTCCCCCCCCCCCCCAAAAAAAATGTAAAATCTTTAAAGAGGTCCTTTTCTGAGAATCCCCCTGCAGAGCAAGCCAACAGTTTCTATAACTGGCTTCCCATCCTCCTGGCCAAGAAGGAAAGCAATCTTTTCATGAAATTGCTCGCTTTCTAAGGCATGCACATTGAACCCAGCTGACTTATGTGGGGAGCTCTATATTGAATTGTTAACACAGCGCTAGGAAGCAAGTTTGAGTGTTGTGTGGTTGCTGTTTTATGGGAAGGGGGGTGGTTGTGGTTGTGGTTTTGGTTGTGTGTGTGTTTTAGTTTAGAGCCTATTCCTGAGCATTCACAATAAACACAAAGAGGGACTGATGTTCCTCAAACTAAGCCACCCGGGCAGCAAAACTGCCTCAGCAAAGCCTTCGAACGCCCGAAACTGAGAGACGTGGCCTGGGGAGGGGCACGGGACCTTGTTAGTCTGTGCTCTCATTTACTTGTTTGCTTATTTACTTTTAGGTGCACAGGGAAGTGTGTCTTCTCCAAAGTCAAGAAGTGGCCTTTCCCAAGAATTGAGCTATTGAGCTGAAATGGCTGCCACTGGGAACACAAAACAGGAAAACTCGGCTCCCAGGCCCAGCTGACGGTGACTGACTGATGCCCACATATTAACCCCTTCACGGCACCACTGTTCTCATAGGCCCTTTGCGCCCTCATGAAGTTACCTTTAGGGGAAGGGAGCACATACCCCAAAAATGCCCCCAGGGGAGGAAAAAGGGAAAGAAAGTGAAGTTCTTTTATTTTTGTTGTCACCCCTCCCCCACCCCCTCCTCTCTTTAAACAAATTATCAGGGATTTAAACACACAGATACGTAGCTGATTGCCCTAGTTTGTTTGCAAACAGCCCAGATTCAATTAGATTCCAGGAGGCCGGAGTCGCAGCCTCTGTTACCAGCCCCACTGGCTCCTTCTCAAAGCGGGAGCAGATTCCTACCCACTGAACCTGACAAATGTCATTTCTTATGTCAGAGTCCCAAATAGATCTTCAGCTTTAAAAAAAAAAAAAAAAATGCAGTCGGCTAGCCCACCTTCCTTAAAGAGCAGGAAAGCGATTGCAATGATTCACTCACCCAAGGAGCAAGCGCGGAGCATGGCTCGCAGAAACGGAAATGGTAAGGGTCGGTTCTAACCATCCTCCCAACGTGCCCCTTAAGCCTTCGTCAGAGGCACTTCCCAGGTGAGTACAGTCAGGCTCCTCCGTGGTCTAGAATCTAGATCTCGTTCACTCTCTCAGTGGAGAGAACAGAAAGGACGGGCTCCATTAGGAAGAGCAGAAATTCCCGACTGAGCAGCAAAGTGGGTACATTTGTAATTCAGATCCTTAGCGCTGGCCTGGAGGCCGGTCAGCATCCTGCCCTTTGCATAATTTGGTTTTCTGGGGAGTTTAACCCTTTCGCCTCTGTTTCCCTTCCCCAGAAAGCTACTCTTGGAGCCTCTCCATCTCTCGGCCCTTTAACTAGACATAACAGCCCAAGCAATTTCACCGAAATAAGGGAAGTCACAGTAATACCTTAGGTGACCACATTTCACAGCTTGTAGGATGGTTTTTGAATGCATTATCTAATTTGAAGCTGTGCCCCTCACTGAACTTAATTGCTTCCTTTGTTACATTTCATTATGAGGGGACTGTCGTGTACCTGTATGGTTCACCCTCCCCTCCCCTCCCCTGATATCCCTCCCGCCCCCACCCCAAAGGATCACTTCTTGACAAAATGGCCCCCAGCTGCATTGCTGACAATGGTGGCCAAGGAAGGAGCACCTTGCTTACGTAATTTACTCTCCAGAAGGACGTTTTCTTTAAATCTGGCCACACGGGGGAGTTCCAGGACCGGGGGTCTGGAATCTCTAGCCAGGCTCTTTTCCCTGATTGCCTAAATCAGCGGTTCTCAACCTGTGGGTCGCAACCCCTTTGGTGGTCGAACGACCCTTTCACAGGGGTTGCCTAAGACCATCCTGCATATCAGATATTTACATTACGATTCATAACAGTAGCAGCATTACAGTTATGAAGTAGCAACGAAAATAATTTTATGGTTGGGTCACAACATGAGGAACTGTATTTACAGGGCCAGAAGGTTGAGAACCACTGGACATGGAGGTTGGGGAGAAGCAGCTCTTAAGAATGTGTTTGTTGATTGACTTCTAGAGAGCAGTCAAGTTGAATGAAGAGAGCTAAAACAAGGGGCCAAACTGGGCATGCTCCATCTCCCTTCTCGCTCAGCTCCGCCAAGTAGGCACACTGTTACCCTGCTGCTCAGGAGGGGAACTAGAGGTTAGGTCTCCTGCCCTCCAGCTGAGTGTGGGAGGTAAGGCTGGTGAGGATGACTTAAATGCTTTGCTACGACACCAAAGTTGGTGTTTGCAATCACACTGCCCTTCCTTACCTTCTTCCAAGACTGAGCTGATGGGAATGGTAAAACCAACCAACCAACTTTATCTTTATCTTTGGGCTGGGAATCACAGGAGACCTGGACATAGTAGATTCTCCATAAATATTGGCTGAATGGATAAATCGGTAGATCAATATTCTATGGCCACATCCACTAGAAATTGAGTTGCCTCTGGTATGAGTTGATTTTAGCTCCAAGTGTTTGGTCACTCTAATCAGACATCCACCCTCCCTAGGTGGCCAGCCCAGTGGTTCTCAAAGTGTGGTCCCATAATGAGCAGTATCACCTAAGAACTAGATAAAGATGCAAATTACTGGATCCACTCCAGACCGCTAGATCAAAACCTCTGGGGTTGGGACCCAGATGGTTCTGATGCACAAGAAAATTTGAAAATCACTGATCAGGGTAGAGCTACCACTTCACTGAACATCAACTTTAGAAAAACAGCCCTGAAGATGCAAAGATAGCAACTAACTTTCGGTCTGAGTCTATGCCAGGTTGAAACTTAACCTAAGCTCTTAAAGGCATGTTTTCATGTTTGTGGGAGAGACAGGCGAGCAAAAGACAGTAATAATGTCATGAAAGAGAGGTAGATGCAAGAGCTGTGGGACTCAGGAAGGCACAGATAAGAGCCAGAGGGGTTCTCAGTAGAAGAGGAATGCAAAAGCAAGTAGCTCAGCGTGGCTGGAGTGAGGCTGAGGGAGGACAGATAAGACTGTGGGGGCTGGAGAGGCGGCTCTGACCTGATCATCAGGACACGTGGAAAGGAGCCCACAGGAAGTTTAAACTTTCTCCCAAGGGCAATCGGGAGCCGAGGGAGAGATCTGACTGACTCAGATTTGTGTTTTGGTTGCAGGTAGGATCCAATACAAAGTCAGTTCAACTAACATTCATTGAGTGACCTGAACTGTATACTAGAAATAATGCATAATCATTTTCTTTTTAAGCCTTTCTAAAGAGTATAAGGAATTCCCACTTTTCCCCACCAGAGTGGCTCAGTTGGTTGTCATCCCATGCACTGAAAGGTTGCTGGTTCAATTCCCTGTCAGGGCACATACCTGGGGTGTGGGTTTGATCCCCAGTCA